AATTTATTTTTTCCAAAAAAAAAAAAAAACACAAGAGTTCCAATTTTAGTGTCCAAGAAAATGGTGTACTATTTATGAATTTATACCTGCTATGCTCAACTTGCTGGGTAGTTAAGTTTCTATTGGTACTAGGTAATTTCTTGTTTGCTCTCAAAATCTCTAATTTGAAGATTCGAACTAGTATTTCTTTCTTTTTGATTTGAAAATTTGTGTCATATTGCTTAAATTGTTTTGATTATATCATTGTGATTGCAATTTGTATCCCATATATAGATGTGATTAGCCTCTCCAAGTTCATTTTTTTTCTCACTTGAACAGTTGGGCAGGTTATACTTCTGCTCCAAGTTTACAGGCAATTAATCAAATTGGGCTTAGAAAAAAGTTTGAGTTACCAGTAGGATGAGCTGTAAAATTTTGGAGTTTTTATGTATTTATTCGGAAGGGGACGGATTCGAGCCGTGGAAACACAGAAATGCACGTAAGGCTGCTTACAATAGACCTTTGTGGTCCGGTCCTTCCCGTATCCCACGCATAGCGGTAGCTTAGTGCACCGGGCTGCCCTATGTATTTATTCGTGTTTGAGCTAAGAAGATGTACACTAATTCTATGCTAAACTTTTGTACCATGCTTGAATATATACAAAGAGTGACAGTAGACGATTGCAATAAGAATAGGCTGGAAAGATGTTATCAAGCAGTGAAAGTGCAATCTTTTATGGTGATTTCCTATTTCCTATCAAGTTAATGATTAGATTAGAATGTAAGTTGTATCTACGGAGAGTTTAAAGAATTTCTGAGCAGTTTCAGTGGATCGCTTACCATCTTTTGCATAGCTGGATTTGACACTATTAAACTCCTTAGATTATAAGTTCAGTTAAAACTTTTACCACCAACTCAGAGAGATGAAACAGAAGTCGTTCTAATTTTGATCTTAGTTGAAAATTATTTCCACTCTTAAGCCGAGGGTCTATTGGAAACAACCTCTTTATTTCCACAAGGTAGGAGTAATCTCTGTGTACACATTACCCTCCCCAGACCCAACTACGTGGGATTATACTGGGTATGCTGTTGTTGTGTTGAAAATTATTTCCACATAGTTACAGCAGAGCATCTAGATATTGGCTAAGATCAAGGGCTGAGCTCCCTAATGTTTTCGCAACAAAATCATAATGCAGATTGCAGGCAAGCGGCATAGTTAAAGGCTTATTACCTCTCTTTCTTCTTACTTCGCTTGGTTTTTTCAATCCTATATGCTTTTGGTTATTTCTGTATGGTTGTTTAGGAAAACAGAAGGAAGACATTAACACTCCTATAGTTGATCGCAGTCAGTGGTTGCTTTAGCCCACTGATATGCATTTAGCCGCCATGGATTTAGTATCCAAACTGCTAACAGATGCTTCAATTTGGATACACGACATTTTAAATCATAAGTGTATTGGCTATCTTCAGTGACTTTTCATGTGTGAACTGCATTTAGCAACAGTAATTTCACCCAAGCTTATACATTTGGTATTTTTCTAGCACAACATAAGAATAATGCAAGTAATAGCTTTCTACAATGGCTCCTCTATATCGGGCATGGGTTCACTAAAGCTATCTGAATAATCAGATGTACCATTAATTCCTTTCAAGCTTCACAAAATACATACATGAGAGAGAAAAGGAAGACATGTTCTTTGTTAAGAACTCATTCAATATTGAGGCATAGTTAATTGATTGATGTGATATATGCGGTCTGTTTAAAAAAGAAGTGTTCGAGGGGAAGGAGGGAAGACTTTGAATTGATAGGAATGAGTTTCTGATACTTCAATGATTAATATAGTTTTTTGTAAAAATACCTTCGTTGGTCGTTGACATAGTGGACTAAGAAGGCTTCTATACCAAGGTATGCTCTTTAAGCCTACTTAATTTTGATCAATTCTTATGAAGAGGTACAAATGAGCTCATTATGGATCTTGGATTGTCATTGCTTTTCTCCGATGATGAATATCTTCTAGAAATACAGTGTTAGTAGTGTTTTTTTTGCTCATCTGAAGCAAAATATGCTCGTTAAACACAATCTATGTGTTGCATCAATCCCGTTTGACAAATATCAGTGAATAAAATAAACATCAATCTTAGCTGGCTTAAACAAATAGGAAAGCCCGCCCATGGTGGTTCTGATTGGATTTTCTGACGTCTACAACTGTCATGCCTCATAAGCTTTATTGTGATCCGAAATCATTACCTGCAAAGAATTATATTTTTGTTGCTGAGATTTTGTATCCTTTTAATCAAGGGCAGTATAATGCAATAGCAGTTCTTAAATCATGAATACCTCTTTATCTTTTTTGATTTATTTGCAGATCAGGAAGTTCTTTGTTGGATATCGTCAAGCTCGTTTTCTGGAACTTGTAAGTAGAAACTAGTTTCAGTAGACATTTCTACTCGAAATGACTGTCAGAGCACATCATTCCATTCTTTCTGTTGATGGTCTTGGAAGGGTCTCAATTATTTCATTGGGATCTTAATAATATGTGGCTCCTCTTACATTTTACTACACAATGCCGGGACTCAATCATTTCATTCTGATCATACTAAAATGTGTTTTCTCATACATTTCATTTACACAAAAGAGCTATGTTTTCAAATTTCATAATCGAAAAGAGAGCCCGTTATAAGGTTTGCAGGTAATTAAATATTGGTACGAACAATTTTATTAAATATCCATTTTCAGTTTTCACATGCTAATTTCTTCTGGAGTTTCTACATATCAGCTTTAATTGAAGCAACACATGCTGAGTTTAGATATAAGGAGATACTAATTTTTGCCTGCTAGTACGATAATTCCTTAGATTTGTCATTTGCAGATTATGAAATAAGTAATATATGTTGTCTGCTGCAGAGTCAGTGCAGGTATTGACAATTCTGAAGAATGGATTCTGAGCTGGTACTACATACTGGCGGATGTCACTGTAAAAAAGTAAGATGGCGAGTCTATGCATCATCTAGCGTTGTGGCCTGGGATTGTAACTGCTCAGACTGTTCCATGAGACGAAACACACACTTCATAGTTCCCTCGGAGAGATTTGAACTCCTCGGAGACTCCAAGGAGTTCATCACAACCTATACGTTTGGGACTCACACAGCTAAGCACACCTTCTGCAAAGTTTGTGGTATAACTTCTTTCTACATTCCACGATCGAATCCAGATGGTATAGCCATTACATTAAGGTGTGTCGACCCTGGTACGCTAACTCATGTTGAGTTCAAATGTTTCGATGGACAAAATTGGGAAGGCTCGTACAAGCAAACAGGCATTGCATCTTGCTCAAAGGCAACAGATGAAGATTCAAAGTGATATCAACTTTTGGTGTGAAAGTAGAAGCTTGCTGCCATGTGACCAGGAGGTCACAGGTTCAAGCCGTGGAAACAGCCTCTTGCAAAAATGCAGGATAAGGCCGCATACAATAGACCCTTATGGTCTGGCCCTTTTCCCCAGACCACGCACATAGCGGGAGTTTAGTGTACCGGGCGTGAAAGTAGAAGCTTAAAGTATCACGTGATGGAGCTTCCCAAGATAGTCTTTCTTCTCTCTGCTAATTTTTGACATTCAATTCTTGAATTGAGGCGCCTGACCTTGCAAGATATTAATTTTTACCATTTGATTATGATTACTCTTTTAGACGCAATAAATTCTGTAAATTATTCTGACCAACAATTACCTATGTATTATTAATGACGTCTTAAGGCTTTTAATAGAATTTTGCACTCAAGTCTCATAATAAGTTATCCATCACTTTTATGTCTTGGTCACTTGGACTTCCTTTTGATTCTTTTAAATTTTATTTGTACTTGAAATAGCATATTTTACCTTGGTTTGAGTTTTCGGGTTAATCAATTACATTAATTTTTGGGATTTCAATTCAAACTTTTATTTGGGTTTGTATAGTTTCTGCCTAAATATATAATGTTGTTGGGTTAATATTATGCAAAAATTCTCATGTTCTAGTCTTTTTGCAAATTTGAAGAAATCAACGGTATACGACATTAAAATATTCTAGTCTTTTTAATGGTTTCTATTGCAAGTTACGTTTCGTATCTTGGTTTATATATGAGGCTTGTGACATTTTATTTGATAGACAATGCTAAACTCTAAATTAATATGTTTATATATAAGTGATTGGAGTAATTGACCAGAATGCTCCTGTTCAATAGAGGTGGGTCGAAATATATAATACTGGTTTACTTTTAATACAATTTTTTACAAACCGATGACTAATGGACTTATTCAACGGATACTATTGTCATTGCAAAGGACAATCATACTAAAAAAAATTGATATCAAGTATTCAACTTGACAATAATTCCTTTTTTTATATGTCAAAAACATAATTTAGATGTGAATTTGAAAAACTTCGGTTATGGTTGTAAATGTTCTAGGGTGTGTTTGGTACGAAGGAAAATGTTTTTCATGAAAAATGTTTTCATGGAAATTGAGTGGTTTTATCACTTATTTTCTCTTATTTGGTTGGTGAGTGAAAAACTTTTTCCAAAAAATATTTTCTAGTGTTTGTTAGATAGTATAAAATATTTTTAGGAAAATAATTTTTTATGCTACTCTCCTCAACCCACCTTCTCCAAAATCTTCATATTTTGTGCACTGCTGCCCCCTCCTCCCCCTTTCCGACACTCAATTTTCTTCAAAAATTTAATTATTCCTTTTAAAATTCACGAAAATCCAAAGAAACTAATTTTCTACTTTACTTTTTCACACAAGAACAACGTTGCAATTTGAGCTCGATAACTAAAAAGAAAATACATTTTTTGTTGAAGAAAAAAGTAACCTTTTTACAACATGAAAAGAAATTACTCATTTTGTTGAACGAAAGAAAATACTTTTTCTACATTATGAAAAGAAAATACTCAGTTTGTTGATATAAAAAAAAAATACTTTTTTTTCATCATGAAAAGAAAGTATTCATTTTGTTGAAATGAAAGAAAATACATTTTCTATATCATGAAAAGAAAGTATTATTTTTTTTGTTGAAATGAAAGAAAATATTTCTTCTACGTCATGAAAAGAAAGTTACCCGTTTTGTTGAAATGAAAAAAAATACTTTTTTACATCATGAAAAAGAAAGTACTCGTTTTGGTTGAAATAAAAAAAATTACTTTTCTACATCATGGAAAAAAATAATACTTTTTCTATTTCAGAAAAAGAAAATACTTAATTTGTTGAAATGAAAAAAAAATATTTTCTATATCATGAAAAGAAAATAATCGTTTTGTTGAAATGAAAGAAAATATATTTTTTACATCATGGAAAAAAGTACTTGTTTTATTGAAATGAAAGAAAATACTTTTTCTACGTCATGAAAAGAATATACTCATTTTATTGAAATAAAGAAAATCACTCTATTTACAACATTAAAAGGTAGGGGTTGGGGTATGGGGGAGGGGGAAGGGTTGGGGTGGTGTGAGGTAGGGGTGGTTTGGG